GACGTTCTTGGACTTTGTAAGCCTTTATGAAGACACACTCCACTATAAATGAAAATGAAACCTTGCATTGTAGACATTTCAAGTAGGTTGAGTAGGCCTACCTACTCAGTACAGTGCAGCAGTTCATCCCTTTGAGGTTTTGCCCAGTAAAGCATTTTTAAAAAATATTTTTTACCCAAGCATTTACAATCATTATGTTTCAAAAAAGTTGGCTCCATCTCCCTCAGCTCTGCTTCTCTGAACTTCCTGTACAGTAGAAGATCACAATGGACAGAGCAGTCTCCAGCAGATGTCCAGCTACTAGTCGGGAGAAGGGAGGAAGTAGAAGGGAGGAGGTAGGAGAGGGGAGCACGGGGGGAAGAGAGTGGCTTGCTTTGCTGTCCCTGTATGTTTGTGGAGACACAGAGCTTACTACAGGGGTGGGCAACTCTGACCCTTCAGCTGTGCTTTAACAACAAATCCCATCATCTTTCTGCCTCTTGGAGTCATGCCTGTAACTGACAGTCTTGCAATGCCTCATGGGACTTGTAGTTCCATAACAGCTGGAGGGCTGGATTTGCCCACCCCTGGCTTACTAGCACACACAAGGTTGGCTCCATAGGATTCCCCTCCAAGGGAAAGGAGCCACCCCAAAACAGCACCAGTGCTCATTAAACCAGCTGACTATATACTAACCTTTTAAACATCAAGGAGCAGCATCCATTGTATTTGTAAGTGATTTATTCAGCATTTTAAATAGTTTAAAAACCAATATCACTTTAAAGTGCACTTTACAGCTACCATCGGGGAGCAGATCGACCTGGCAGTGCTCTGCTAAAGATCCAGAGTCAATTACTGGAAGGCTACTTCCAGCACTCGGCTCCAGGCCCAAATCTGCAGGACCCTAGGATTATGTCTAAATCCGGGGACAGTCCCATGGGACATTATGTTTTATTGCTGAATATACACAAAATACACTGAGTGGCCAGATTATTATGACCACCTGACGTTTGTAGGCAAATTAGCTATAATTCGGCGCTGAAGTTGCTAGAGAGCCAGACCATTATAAATAGGGAAGCAGGTACCACGACAGTAGAAGTGAGTTTTTTCTGAAGATACGGGTAAACAACGCGATTTAACAGCCTTTGAACGCGGGATGATTGTTGGCCCTCGGAGGCATGGAGCGAGTATCAGCAAAACAGAAGAATTCATTAAATGTTCAAGAGCAGCTGTTGTTAAAGTGTTTAAAGACTGGACCTTCAGCTGAAAATCTGGGTCTGAACGTGCGAATTGTGGCCGTCAGCGACTAGTCAATGTTAGGGCAGAACTGAGAGTGGCAAGACTGGTACAAGACAACAGAAGGGCAACAGTGCAGTGTCAGATTCCTCGCATCACCTTTCAACATCTCGTGGAGTCACGAGGCGGTCCAACAAAGTCATCTGGTGGAGTCATCTCGTGGCCCAACGAAGTACTGATGGGGTGGTCATAATAATCTGGCCACTCAGTGTATAGTATAATGTAAATGATAAAAATAAATTAAAAATTATTTACATTGCTTCCTGAAAAGTTGGGAACCCCAAATCTTGCGGGAAGATGCTCTAGCACTGCGCAGAAGTGTGTTCTTGTGGGATTTGGGGTCCTCAACTTTCCCAGGATCCCAGAAGAAGGCCTAGTGATGTCACCCTCACCTAGCTGAGCACACCAGTCCAGAACCTGGGGTGATCATGTAAGGTGAGTATTTTTTACATTCTTTTTCTAATGTTTTAATTAATTTATTACATTTTAACATGGAGGGTGGGTGCTGCAAGATCAATGGACCTTCTACTGTCATACAAGGTCCCTTCAAAAACACACCCTAATTTTTCCTTCTCACACCTGGCGGTGCAGCTATAGACCTCACTTTTTATATCTGCCTTAGGCACCTGGTTCTATTGAGACACCACACAGTACAATTTTTCAGCATATGGGTCCTCCCCCTTAAATTTTCGCTCAGGGCTCCATTAAAGCGCTGCACGAACTGTTGGCGCTATATAAATCCTGTATAATAATAATAATAATTTTATACAAAAATATAGCAAAGCACAAGGGAAAAGTGCGACACTATAAGCCATTAGGCTACACCCACCTTTTTGGCCACACCTTCATTTGACCAGGTCCCTCTACACCTCCAGTGGGTGGCATTCTGAGTGCAGCACTTTTCTAAAGAGATGCTATCAATTAATGAAAAAATTAATAAAAACAAAGTATAACAAAGTTAGATGAATAAATAATTTTTTGCCACTCCCAAGGTGGAAGTGCCCAAGGGAACACATTTGACATCACTGGTTGCTACGACCGCCCGGCAGTCCTAGCAACCAATGACTGCAGAGGAGGTGGACACCTGACGTCATTGGTTGCTAGGATGCCAGCAGTCCTAGCAACCAACGACTGAAGAGAAAGGGCCCTGCACTGGGCTATGGCTTGCAGAGGATGCATTGGCCTTGGTGGCAAGCGAATCCACTGCCAGCCAGCCATAACCAAGAGCAGGTCGGCGATCGCGGTCCAGAGAGAACCGCAACTCGGTCCATGTCCGAACTGCGGAACAAGAGCTGGAAATGCCCAGGTCTGCATAAGCTGCCTAGGGCGATTTAGCCAAAAGGGGGGCCCAAAAAGACAAGACCTAAAACCTATGCTGCTTAAGTAAATCACAGCTCATGGGAAGCGGGGGTGCACTTTGGCCTTTTCGCCTTTGTTGCCAAGGATCTTGTCCCAGCACTGTGAGCAACTATATCTAAAGCCAAAACTATTTTGTTTGTTTTAAATACAGTAGAGGAGAGTTAAACCCTTGACAGGAAGTGAGTGAAAAACTCTCACAATCCCCAAAACCGGTGTCCCCTTGGGAAGATTTCCCCTCTATTCCTGTTGTGATGATAACTGTGAAACTTTGGATTTCCCATAATTTTCTGTCCGGTTGACAATGGGAACCAATACAATTCCAAAGGATGAATGTCCCCAGCAGGGACCAAGACTGCAGTAGGGTTGACACCCATCCAGCACCTGTCCAACTGGGCATTCTGGTTTTTATATACACTGCTTAATTCTTTATATGCTATTCAGAGCCTGGTCTGAACACTCTTCATAACAAATGAGACCCTCAGCCTGAGCTCTAGGGTGGTGCATTGAATTCTTTAAGTATGACTGGGATGCAAATGGCAAAGAAAAACCAAGGATACTGTGCGCCTGGCAAGGTATCCTTGGTTGCTAGGACACTGTTGGCTGCAGAGTGTCTTTGTTTGCTAGGACACGGTTGGCTGCACTGTGTCCTTGGTTGCTAGGGTTCTGTTGGCTGCACATTGTCCTTGGTTGCTAGGATGCTGTTGGCTGCACAGTATCCTTGGTTTCTAGGACACTGTTGGCTGCACAGTGTCATTGGTCACTAGGATGCTGTTGGCTGCAGTGTCCTTGGTTGCTAGGACACTGTTGGCTGCACAATGTCCTTGGTTGCTAGGATGCTGGTGGCTGCAGAGTCTCCTTGGTTGCTAGAACAGTAGAAAGGCATCATGGCACACTCACAAACCAGCATGTAAAACAACTTGTCTCACCACTAAGGACAATGACAGAGGTTTGGATACACGTCTTCTGCAAAGGATGTGTAAGCCGCACTGCCGCGCCAAGGCACCTCTTATAGTGCGGTCCTAACTCTAAACTATGAGTCTCCATCTTGGAGCACATGGGGGCAGGACACTGTTGGCTGCAGAGTGTCCTTGGTTGCTAAGACACAGTTGGCTGTGCAGTGTCCTTGGTTGCTAGGATGCTGTTGGCTGCACAGTATCCTTGATTTCTAGGACGCTGTTGGCTGCACAGTGTCCTTGGTTGCTAGGACACTATTGGCTGCACAGTGTCCTCGGTTGCTAGGACTGTTGGCCACAGAGCACCATGGCAACCAAGGGCACTGTACAGCTGACAGGGTCTAAGCAACCAAGCATTTTTGTGCAGCTAACAGCATCATAGCAACCAAGGACACATTGCTGCTGACATCATAGCAACCAATTACACTGTGTGGCCCGGGGGAACAATATCAGTGATATGATATTTTGTCCTTGGCCTCTGTTCCCACCATGCCCCTCCTGAAAAAAATGAATGTACCATCTTTCATGAGCACATGCTACAAAATTCAGGAAGGAAGGTGGTGTTTTTTTTCTTGGGGGGGGGGGGGGGTTTAGGGGAGCGGGTTGAA